CTGATAATGTAGGTGAATCCCGCATTTTTACGCGTGTGTTGTGAGACGTTTGTATGCAGATTACTCAGCCGCATTCACTCTGGTATCGGTGCAAGATTCAGTCTCTGTTATATTTTCTTGTCGTTTTTAACAATATGCATTCAATGTGATGTATGTCAGACATAAATCTTTATTACTTTGTGCGTTTAGTGGCGCAGTTTAGCAGCAATGTGGTCACGCAGTCTTGCATGTTTTGATAGGATGTTTACGAGATGATCAGAGGAAAACTTTCGGCGAGAGTTTGTTAAATCTATCATTTTTATTTATTTTTTCCTGTAGATTTATCATACTTGTTCCAGGTGGACGGTAATTATTAGTTGACTGAAGAAGAAAATCAAGAAGAACTGCCGCGTAGTGGTGGCATAAGAGAATTTACTATCCCATCTACTATCACATCCCATCATGTGGATGTCGTGAAAGGTGGCAGAGGGAAATGAATTAGGTAACTGTAGTTGCCAACCCGCCTGCCAAGTTGAGTACTAGATGATGAGATGGAATGTTTTTTATAGGCTAAGGTGACAAACGAGCACACAGTCCACCTGATGGTAAGAGGTTGCTGCAGCCTATAGACATCTACATCTATCCTCGATTACAAATCAAAATGCAGGTGCGTTGTCACCCGTGAAGACTAAAACGGAATGCCTCGTTTTCAGTAAAAAAGGGTCTCCGGATCTCTACACTCACCATACGAAACACAGCAGCATTAAGCTACTATTTTACGCTGGTATTCTGTGAGAGCATGGTCCTTCCCCGGTCGAGCCGACCCATTCGTGCTACAACAATAATATAGCTGCAGCGTGGCTCTACCACGTATAAATAAAAGATGAAGAATGAAATATTTTATAAAAGTACGATTATTTTTAATACGTGAACGAGCTGCACGGCAAAGTATTTGCATCACGAACGCTTCGGCTCGACTTGAGAAGAACCAGGCGCTCGTAGAATAGGAGTACTAACGTGAAATAGCAAAATAAAAGATGAAGAATTAAATATTTTATAAAAGTACGATTATTTTTAATACGTGAACGAGCTGCACGGCAAAGTATTTGCATCACGAACGCTTCGGCTCGACTTGAGAAGAACCAGGCGCTCGTAGAATAGGAGTACTAACGTGAAATAGCAAAATAAAAGATGAAGAATTAAATATTTTATAAAAGTACGATTATTTTTAATACGTGAACGAGCTGCACGGCAAAGTATTTGCATCACGAACGCTTCGGCTCGACTTGAGAAGAACCAGGCGCTCGTAGAATAGGAGTACTAACGTGAAATAGCAAAATAAAAGATGAAGAATTAAATATTTTATAAAAGTACGATTATTTTTAATACGTGAACGAGCTGCACGGCAAAGTATTTGCATCACGAACGCTTCGGCTCGACTTGAGAAGAACCAGGCGCTCGTAGAATAGGAGTACTAACGTGAAATAGCAAAATAAAAGATGAAGAATTAAATATTTTATAAAAGTACGATTATTTTTAATACGTGAACGAGCTGCACGGCAAAGTATTTGCATCACGAACGCTTCGGCTCGACTTGAGAAGAACCAGGCGCTCGTAGAATAGGAGTACTAACGTGAAATAGCAAAATAAAAGATGAAGAATTAAATATTTTATAAAAGTACGATTATTTTTAATACGTGAACGAGCTGCACGGCAAAGTATTTGCATCACGAACGCTTCGGCTCGACTTGAGAAGAACCAGGCGCTCGTAGAATAGGAGTACTAACGTGAAATAGCAAAATAATGCAGCTCTGTTTCTTACGAGTATGGTGAGTGTAGAGAACCCGTTATCAGTTTTACTGATAACGAGGATTTAAATTTTAGTCCTCAGTGGTAAAAACGCTTTACGCTTCAACATTCTTAATGGATGATAATAGGGCAACAGCATTAATATAGAATTAGATGGATTGGGTGCTTCTAGTCACCCTTACCGCCATTTTTCACAATGTTAACACTAGCATTTTTTCAAATGTCGTGGCGGTTCGATTTCACAAGCCCTACCGTGACACAGCTGTTCAGTGATCTAGTGGTCGGACCGAAATTGTTCGTCATGAGGTCCTGGGTTCGAATCGCGGGTCTGGCAAAAATCATTATTGACTTATCTGTCAAGAAATTCTTAATAGCCCCAAGGAGTCTTCAAGTCAGGAAGTTGGCGGTTTTCACTCCCGGTTGGTCCTTGGTCCTGTGCCTGATATCTCGCCTGTGTCGGATTACCGTCCCATCATACTTTGAGAGTGGAGGTATGGGGAGTGCTCCTGTTCGCATACACTCGGGCACTATGTACCATGGTCAAATTTCGGTCTGAAGGACATTATTATTGTATTTATATAAATCTTCGTAACAATCAGCATATCACTCAAATGTAAAATGCTTCAGTTCATATTTAGGCCTTTATGGGAGGATTGGATATTTTCGATTTAAGTCTTTTTATAGAATAAGGGAGACAAACGAGTTCACCTGACGGTAAGTGGACGCTGTGGTTTATAGACCTCTACATTTATCCGCGATTAAGAATCAAAACGCAGATGTGTTGTCACCTCTGAGGACTATATAATCTATACCTCGTTTTCAGTAAAAAAGGGTCTCCGGATCTCTACACTGCTGCTATTTTACGAAGGTATTCTGTGAGAGCGTGGTCCTTCGCCAGTCGAGCAGATATGACCGATTGATGCTACAAAGCTGCATGCATCCCTTCCGAGGATTTAGAGACCACTATGCTTCAATCTATGGAAGCCTATGTACAGCAGTAAAAGGTGATGGGATGGGCTGAATTAATGAAAAAATATTAATCAATAATTTCACAAATAATTGTAACTATGAAAGCAAGTTTGCATGTGTTTTCATAATGTAATGATGAAATTATTAAATAATGCACGTGTTAAAGATAATAAATCATACCATTGTTATTATAAACAATATTGAGTTTTACAAAAGAACAATTGTTGATCGAACCAGAATGTCACAAGTTAACCTTGCTAATTTGAGTGCTGCTAAGAGTTTTGTGATTTATAAGCATAAGCGACAGCGGGAAAGATACTTTGTTATTTCTGCATCACTATAAGGTAAGCACGGGATGCTCCGGGTATTGGTGTCCGCTTATTACTGGTTGGACATAAAGTTATAATAGCATATAAAAAACAAACAGAAGAAGAAAAGAAAATTTAAATAAATAAGAGAAAATCAAACAAAGTACAAAATTAAATTACATCAATTTATTTCAGAAAAATATAGTACTTAGTATAATAAATGATAATATCATACTTAAAAATATAGCTGCTCCATTGTCACTTCAGTTAATCTTTTCGACATGGATTCTATTTCTATCTCACTCACGAATCACGTTACAATTTAACTTAAAAAACGTTAAAAACCAACTTCAAATAACTAAAAGGAATATATGCAATCATCGAATCGGTTGATGTGCCAAAGAATTATTTGGCCATAATACGTCGTGCAGAGAAGCCTTTGCAAATTGAAGAGTTGATGGATCTCAGGGTTCATGGTTATCACATGCGATTTATTTTAAGTCGGTTGAAAAACGTTGAGTTGGTTTAGCCTTTCTTTTAAAAATATAGCTTTTCATTTTTTGAAACATCGTGGTCGGAACCCTTAGACCATTTACTAACTTCGGAACTAGAGAAACAATCGGAACTGTGTGCGGGCGACCCGCTCGTATTTAATTATTTTCGTAGAAATACGAAACTCCAATTTATGTTTGAATACTACGTCAGTACCTCGGTACGAAAATTAGAGCGTGTCCAATCTCCTTGTTTACACCCATAATGTGATCTATTGTTTAGATTTCAGGCCGCATACATTATTTACGTATAACTAGTTTTGTTTGGTACATGGATTAAAAATTCATTCGCTCATTTCGCTCTAGATTTACAATGACTGACGGTTTTTATAAGAAAATTGATTGCAGTTTTAGTATTTATTTGGTGTAATATATAATTATTGTGAATTTTTAACTAAGTTCCAAACAAACAAGAAGATTTTATATTCGACGCGTATTTTTTTTATTTATGTTGTATTATGATACGGCTGAATTGATTTAAATGATTTATTTTCATTAATTACGGTTGATTACACTACTTCAGGGTTGATGGTTGTTTCACATAAATTAAATAAGGTACGTGTGGGTAATATGGTCGGTCACCTTAAGTACCGTAGACCATAACTAATATATTAAAAAGTAGCAAACAAGCTTTGGAAATAATTAGGAACACTTCGAAAAATCAATCTACAAAAACTAACTACACTACACAAAATTAAAAACGAAAAACTGTCAAAATGGTGTCGATGAAGCAGCGGACTATTGACCCTTTATTATTTGATTGACCGATAAAGGACTATCGTATCACAAAGCCATATGTTCAAACAAGGCTGTAGTTATAAGAAAGTGATGACCATATTTCCCTCACGCTCGTTCCATCTCCAACGGTGGATAATAAAAGGTGTATATATAATAAAAATTTAATATATTACAAATACACTGTATATTAGCACCGACTTTAGAAACTATTATGTGCAAATTATTTTATTAATCGCAGTTTTAAGGTCGGTTTGCACTTACAGAAGTTTAATTATTCAAATTGCGTCACATCATCGGAGACTCTTTTACTAGTAGTGAGGCCTGCCATTTTAATCCGCAGGCGCATCGGCACTTTGATTCTCAATGAAGAATAGATGTAGGTGTCTATGGGTCAAAGCATCTACAAACCATCAGATGAAATTGTGTTGTGTTCAGTCACTCTTAGGTAATTCTATAAAACTTTAAAATACATTTTTTTCACCACTAAATTAATTCGTTGACAATAGACTTGGAAATCAAATTTAAATCAAGGGTTCGAATTTCAAATAATATGTAAATATAAATAACTGAAGATCTGCAGTACATATGTATCATGTAATTTGCCCCAATAAATAAGTAAAAAATTGGTTAATTAAAGTTCACTAACCGTATATTCCGACAACGTCCTCTCGGAGGGAGCTCGGTGGCTGTCGTTTTCATCCCTCGAAGAAGCTCGGTGTAAAAATCCACCAGATGAAGGCGAATCGACACCAGACCGGTGCGTCGCCACATAATGATTACTTTTCACTTTATGCGCCATCTTAGATTTATCACAACACTAAGTTATGCTTACGTTCATTTTCACATTCGAAAATAGAACTACTTAGCAGGGCACCATTGTCCGCGAGTTACTTTTAATTTTCTTTTATGTCAGTGAACGTATTGCGCTGAGCCTATAAAGCTAATCTATCATATTCGTTCTGATTTAATGATTCGAATCTAACGTTCCGTTGGTATCTCGTATTGTGGGTCAGCTGTACCGGCGAGCCTGCAACAAAGAATGGTTTGGTTAGAAACGTTTAACCTTTTTATTATTAACCTTGAAATGGGTAATTTGTGGTTAGGCGATAGCGACTTGCACAAATTTCTGGCTTGATTGACGCGTCTCTATACAGGTAGTAGATTCTTTAGAAAAATAAGAAAACCATGTCTTGCAATTATTATAGATTTAAAATTAAAGGACATTATTTGCTGTGTTGAATTTACAACGTGTTGATTTATATCTGCTATGCCTCTTCCTATATTATCGCTTTATTTAGACATTATGTTTATTATGTTTAGACAGTAAATTAATAAAAAAATTTGAATGTTTTTGTTATTCGTGTATAACGTATGAAAACAACACGTAGTCTTACTTAAGCTTTTGTTTTAAGGTTTGGCTGGCTGGTTAAAAGAGAAGATCTCCCACTATGCTAGGTAATCGCGAAAAACAAACATGGAGGTTTTTCTTGTATCACTAGGGGTGTTCTGCATCTGGACTTACAATTAATATAAATTTTTAGAACATCCAGATTATGGAGAGTAGTTTAGTAGATTTGATAGCGTGATTCAGGCCTCGTTTATTGTTTGGTCTGTTTACGCGGCTGTAGGGCGATGATAGCGCGGTCACAAAGGGTAAACGCTTTACAGCAAAAGAACGGGTTACGTCGGAAATATCGACTGTAACGCTTTAGCTTCTTTGGAGAGGACAATTATTTACAAAGTATTACCACTTCTAGATTCAATTAGTGTTGCAATGTTAATATGTAGCATATAATAGTTAAATATTATGTTACTATCGCCGTGTAGTGGTGGCGTAGAAGAATCCACTACGCTATACTAATCCGTGAGTGTTGAAAAGGAAAAGGGAAATTGAAACAGAGGTTGAATAAGAGCATCTATTACCCCATATCGTCCCGTATTGTACAAATATCAGAACTTACTGAGACTGACTGAACTAGTTGACTCGTTGATCTAGTGGTTGTAGTAATGCGACTGCTGAGTGCTGAGCATGAGGTCCTGGGTTCGAATCCCGGGTCGGGCCAACAAAATCAATTATAGAGTTTTTCTGTCAAGAAATTCTCAGTAGCTGCCCGGAGTCAGGAAGTTGGCGGTGTCTCACCCCCGTGCCTCGGAAAGCACGTAAAGTCGTTGGTCCTGTGCCTGATCTCTCTCCGGTCGTGTCGATTTACAGTCCCATCGGATTAAGAGAGTGAGGGAATAGAGAGTGCACCTGTGCTTGCGCATACACTTGGGCACTATAATCCTGTTCTGCGCCGATGGCTAGCCTCCGTTGAGGCAGGCCGCCGTGACCGAAATTCGGTCTGGGGGACATTATTATTATTATTATTATTATTTGGGGTATATATATAGTTTTCTCATCTGGATGGGTTCTATAAACATATAATTATAAATGTAAGTGAAAAGATACATAAATTTAAATAAAATAAAATAAATACAAAAAATACATAAGTAAATAAAGATCCAACCAGATGGAAGATGGAGATATTTTGTCCGCTTATCTGTTTCGGCTTTCACGAGGTTCTCGTCATACGGAATGGTAATGTCGACCAAAAATATCCTTGACTGTGCCCGGTCCATCAGCACAATATCAGGCTTATTCGCAAGAATAGTCCTGTCTGTGATGATGGCCCGGTCCCAGTAGAGCTTGGCGCGGTCATTTTCGAGCACGGCTTACGGCAAGTACTTGTAATACGGAAATTTCCGGTCCACGAGACCGTATTTCAGAGCGAGCTCCTGGTGTAGAATTCTGGCTACTAGTTTGTGTCTGTGCAAGTACTCAGAGTTAGAAAGCGCCGAACAACCGGAGATGACATGCCTAAGTGACTCCCCGGGATGGCGACAAGTTCGACAGACGTCGACGGTGCCATCCTTTAGGATGTATCTCATATATTATTATTATTAAATATCAGAATATTGCAGTTGTTTTTTGTGTATTACTGTAATTGATGAAAACAATTTTCCACTTTTGTCAGCAGCATCTTCACGACAACTCAAAATAATAAAAAAGTGCGTTTGCTAACCCGCCTGCGAAGCGATTATCCCCCCTATGAAAGTCTATAGGGGAGGGAGAGGAGGGAGAGAGGTAGAGCAGTGGACCTGTAGTGATCGTGTGTACGGGTGTACGGGTATATAATGTAAAATGATGATTTATGATTTTCTTCGCTAACTGCAATGAAATTGATTTCAGATTTGATTGGGCATTTGCTTAAAATAATGGTGCTTTCAAAGCAATCTAGCCCATACTACTTCAAACTATAAAATTTATCTCAGGGAAAATAACATACAAATAATCCCTATAATACTTATTACCGACCTAGATTCCGCTATCAAACTAATAGAATTTTCTCTCAAATCATCCTTGTTCGTGATCTTAAGCTTACTTTCACTGATCTATTTTTCACGGGTATCGATTCGGACGTTGTATCGAACGATTGTATCGTTATAATACCAATACTAATATTTCTTAATTACATCGATTGGGGCCAGAAGGCGATTGAATCGAATAAAAACTTTGACTGACACATCAGGGTTTCCTCAACAGCTAACAATAGTGGGAACTGTGTGTAGTCGGTTTTATGTGAAGTGGTACGATTGGCTGCAAATGTAAGTGCTGATTGTTTTCTCAAAAGGTCTTGATTGACTTTTAAACGAGTACACGATACAGTTCGATTTTGTTGATTTGGATCGAATCGGTGATAATTGTAGTTGAAATTGTTTCTCATTGTTTTAAAGAAGTAAGGGTGACAAAGTACACCTACACAGTTCTCCAGGTGGAAAGTGGATGCTGTGGTTCATTGACACTTAGAACTATTCTCAATTAAGGAATACAATGCAGATATGTTCTGCATCTGAGACACAAGACTCTTTTTAATTTTGTTAAGGCATTGCATCGATACGAGTCCACATAGCCTTATCTGCAATTTATACAAATACAAGCCAATAATTTGGCTCGAATCTATTATTAAACTGTAATTCTACTGCGTCGTCTTTAATTTTAGTAGAATAATGGTGGCATATTTTATTACCTGATGGTAAGTGTATCCTTAGGCCTATAGACGTTTTTATGTGGTAGAGCCATGCTGCAGCTATGTTAGTAGTATAGTTGTAGCACGAATAGGTCGGCTCGACCGGGGAAGGACCACGCTCTTACAGAATACCAGCGTTAAATAGCAGCTCAACGCTACTGTGTTTCATATGGTGAGTGTAGAGAACCGGAGACACACTGGAAACGAGGCATTCCATCTTAGTCCTCACGGGTGACAGCGCATCTGCATTTTGATTCTTAATCGAGGATAGATGTAGATGTCTATGGACCACAGCAACAACTTACCATCAGGTGGACGGTGTGCTTGTTTGTCACACTTGTCTATAAATTGAAATGTAGATGCGTTGTCACCCCTAAGGACTAAGAGAGAAGTCCAGTAAAAGGGGTCTCCTCTTCTTCATATTCACCATTCAAAAACACAGAAGTATTTAGCTGTTAGAGCGTGGTCCTTCCCTGGTCGAGCCGACCCATTCGTGCTGCAACCATCAGATAGCTGTAGCGTATCGTCTACAGCATTGCTTGGCGACAGAAATATGTACGAGGGCGGTATCTATCAAGAAAAAATTCTAGGCAGAAAAGAGGCTGCTCCAACTACCTAGTAAAACTCTAATGTTGTCTTAAATTTCATAGTAGGCAAGCAACTCGCGTCGAAACTCCTTTAAATTTGTTAATGTGCGTGTTTGAGCAAAATGCCGCGCTAGTCGTTATTTGTGAGATTTTTAGGAGATATCTACTTGTTATTAAAAACATATATCAACTAATCAATTCTAATCAATGATCTCAATTTTAATATTTGTGTTATGAGACCGGGGTGCTTCAGTATATTCAGGAATTCGGTGTTTATCACTGAGTCGACGGATCTATATTGATATTCAAATCCTTCGAATGATATCAAAAGTACTTCATTTATGACTGAGGCTTGTTCGTTTTTTGGTGTTAGGATGGCACGCTCGCATAACCATTCTGCAAGTTTAAATCGTAATATTAATAATAAACAATATTTATTTACTGAACAATATATAATTAATAAATAAATCGTGAATATTATTAATGTTTGATTAAATCTTAGCTATAAGTTCTACTGCAGTGGAAACAATTGTAGCTAACTCTGTAGGGAGTTAGGTACAATTATTTTATAAAATTTCTACGTAATCTTGATTCCACAGTAGCCAATTCCAATTTTTTTAAAGTAGTAAATATTTGATGAATCATCCTACAACTAAACCACAGAAAGGCGAAATAATTATTGATAACATGCATCCCCTCGTAAAGTAAGCATTATTTTATTTTGCGATTGACACTATTGGATAGGCAATTTATTAATGAACATTTTGATCTATTTAATTTTTTTCAAAGGACTAAAATTAGATTTTATAAAGAACATTTTAAAATTGGGGCATATTGCTTACGCGATATATTGTAGCGAGAGCGCGTGGAATATATAGGACCAGGAGTATTATAGGTGTGAAGGAAAACGTCGTGAGAAAAACTGTATGTCCGAAAACTTAAAATTATTTTACGGACATGTGTAGTCCACAATAAGCAACAGATACCCTTATATAAATACAAGAAGGTTTATACCATGTATAGGGATGTATGTAAGCTGTAACCTTACATATTTTTGATTAAGATTTCAATATAAATGTGCAGTTAAAATATTTGCTTTTAGAACCGGAAATACTCGTATTTCATGACATGACTTTTATTTAAAC